GATGTAGACAGTTGTACAATTTTCTGCACTCCCCTTAGTAGTCGGGAGTTTTTGAAGTGATTCCATGGAAACTGTCGTCCAATCAGAGGGAGTTTTGCAAGACGGTCAAAGTCCGTGTCCAACTCGGTCGATGAAGGGTTGACCGGATGCAAAAATTGAGTCCGAATAGCGTACAAACATGACGATTTGGCACGGTTGGATTTATAAACCGTTGAAAGGTTGCCCAATTCTGGATAGAAGGATCCTAGAGACATGCCGCTGAGGGTATTTTGGAGGCAAAAGATGGATTTAAGATATTTTTTTCGGCTATTAAAGACGAGTGGTGTGGACGCTCTGTAACCAGCCTTGTAGTCTTTTACTACTGAGGGTGATATTTTTTTATAAAATAGGTCTAAATCCCTTCAAAACCACACACAGCAATGTTAAATAACATCAAGAACACATGATATCAAGGTAAGATGATTTTATTAAAACATTTTTTTTGTATGCTTTGCTTGGGTTGCCTGTGAACATACTTATAAAACTGGTAGTATCGTCGTGTACCGTGTAACCAAGTACGTCATATGTTTCCGAACACACGAGTGGGACTTAGAAATGTTTTGAGGTTTTTGGTTATCCTCACTTAGAAAAAAAATTGATCCCGCAGATAAGATTCGAACCTGCGAACMCTAAATATGACMTATCCGATCATTRACCYTAAACCTAACCGGTTACGCCACGAGTGAATTCGCTTGGTTGCACTGCTTTTTTCTAGTATTTAAACAATTTCTCATTAACATTTCACTAAATAATTAATATATAAGAACGAAGTGAACACGAATTATGGTCGGGATAATTTTGCATACGGTAAATTTACATTACAATAAACTCCCCTGAGGTTTYCCGTACACGACGATAATACGATAAAACTTATGAATTAGGCTCATTGGGAATGGCCTGAAAAGCAAACAAAGACAACTTGAAAAGCTTTTGTTTCAGAAAGCCGTTCGGGAATTGAAAAACAACAAACGGTGCTCTTTATTCAAACTTATGAAAACTGAAAACCTTAGTGGAGATGCAATAAATCAATGTATTTCTGTTATATGTATTTCCTTCGCTTTTTWCCCCTCCCGAATAATTAATGAGTATGAGAAGTCGTTCAAAGTCCTCCAATTCGGACTGGACGGGATTTCAAGTCCTTGCAATTAGTTCCAGTCCTTGGCTAACGCCTCGGACTGGAACTAATTGCTCGGACTTGAAACCCCGTCCAGTCCTCATTGTCGGACTTTAAACATTACGTCAATGTTGTCAATGTGCATGTTATTTGTTAACGAAAATGCAAAACAACATAAAATTAAAAAGATTTTGCAATAAAAATCTTAAACTTGGTTTAACTCATACTGGAAATACAGCGGTGCCTTCTGCACAATTCATTTTTTTGGCACATTTCGATTTTCCAAAATCTATTATTTAGCTTCGCCTTTTTGCATCTGCTAACGAGAAGATAATATTGAAGTGATCTTTTTCAGCAAAGGGATGCGTCGACGTCCATAATCACTGTCAAGAATGGAGCAAAACYGGATACTGCAAATGGTCATCATACATCAAGGGTATTTATTGCAAGAAGACCTGTGGATCGTGTTTACCAGCAAAGTACAGTCTATTTAGCAAATAGAAAATAAATAAAAAGGAGTGCATTTGCTTGAACAATCGTTGCCGTGTTTCAATTAAGCATAAAAGGATGTTTTCTTTGTTTCCATTCCAGATTGTTGGGTAACTCGAGAGGCTTTGAATCACGAGGTGAAAGTGAGTAATACTCCATTTTACAGTTCCAGACGCCATCTTGAAAGGTAACCAAGCCTTTGCATGAAAGCGAGACAGGAGTTGAGTCTGCAATGATAGATACCTTTTGTTCACACCTAAGACAATTCATAGATCCGACAAATCAAGCGCGAGCGTGCGATTATCMAATCAGAAGAAAGGGCGGGAATCGAACGCTCGCGCTTGTCCCACAAATGACCCACAAATGCTTTCGATTTTTTGTAAATGACATTCTTTGGATGATTTGTCGATAGAATTTCCGATAAATTTTCTGTTTCTTTTGTTAARAACAATCTGAAGTCAATTTGAAAAAGGCCTAGAGAAATGATTTGATTATTTTT